TCTTTCTTGGTGGTGTTTGTTTGTATTTTATCAGAAAATAATACTACCCCTCCCCTTTTTATTGCAATTTGCTTAACTTACATTTTTCCATTGATGAGTAGTGTTTTTTCCCCAATGGTTTTATTAGCATGTAATTCACATATTATACAATTGAACAGTTCAATTGCTCAGTCACGTCCAAGGGAATTGTACAATCAGTACCACATCTATCTTAGAGCCTTTAAAAAATCCATTCTGCTACTCTCTTGACTACTGCAGTGAATGTGTTTACATTCCGTGCACTTACCTGTATGTATGTGTTTACTGCTGTAATTGCTGTGTTTCTTGTTTGTGGTGCTGATGGTCTCTGACTAAATTATTTTTGTACTGAGTTCTTTTTGTTAATGGATTTTCTTATAATTTCATTTTTTTCCATTGCTGTTTGTGTTGTTTTCTGTTAGTATTCTCTATTTTACTTCTCTGGGTTCAAAAATCTACTACAATGGCTACGAAGAACTCACAAAAATCACTATTAGAAGATTTATTAAAGGACACTAACAAGTTGTAATGCCAGTGAAAAATGCTCAGGGTTGAATTGTTTATCAGGACAGGTTACAAAGTTCTTCCAGTTCTGCTAATTAACATCCCATGGGGTACACCACTCCTCTTTAAGCCCCAATGTGAAGGCATTCAGCTCATGCGATGTGGGTCAGCAAAACCCAGCTCCTTCAATTATGCCCAGAGGTACCCACTCCAGTGAGTCTCAGCCTGAAGGCACTTAGTACACTTCAGTAGGTTAGCCAGAACAACTTCCCCAGTTAAGTGACAAGAGTCACCCCACTGTGCAAGCCAGCTTATGCACAAAATCCCTCCGCTTTACTTGCTCTGCGGGTTGGGAATTCCGTCCCTCTGTTCCATGCTCTGGCTCCTGGTTCTGCTGCTGCTTCTCTGATGTTACAGCTGTCTTCTGAGTCCAGGAGGTTCACTGTACAGGGATCTCGGGTCTAGAGGATTCACTCCACTCCTGGCTCTACCTGTGAGGATGGCAGCAGGGTCGGGGCAGTTGTTTCCTGGGACCAAGAAAAGAAAAGGCCAGGGAAGAGGAAGGGGACAAAAAAAAGACAATGGGGGCAAGGGGGAAGAGAAAAGAACTGCGAAAGGTAAGGAAAAGCAATATGGCACCGCCAGTGAAGAGAACGTGTTGACTGGCTGCTGGCTCCTTGGGGCATATCCACTCCTAGGGGATTACCCCACCAGGAGGTATACAAGGTAAGGAGGGGTCCAACCTCTCTAGTCACCGATCCCGGACATGGGCACGTAGAGCCCCTTAGATGGTGCTGCTCTGATTGGAACAGGGCTGCTTGCAATAATCCAAAAGGGCCGGGCTGTGGAGGTGAGCTGTTTCTTGTTCACTGGTGCATTTGGTCTCTTCCCCTTGTTGGGATTTCATTGACTTCCTTATCTTTCACTTATCGGGCCATGGGTTCCAGGATTTTCATCAGTATCCATGTCACTTGTTTTCTTGAGCCTTTGCTGGAGACGGTCTGGGTAGTGCCTGCCTGGTCTGCCATCTCGGAATTCACCAGTGACTCATTGACTCTTGCCTCTCTGCCATTCCCCACTGCTGTCCTCTGCTCTCTGATTGAGCCCCTCGAGGGCAAGTACTGGTTTCCGGTTGTGGGGGGGGGGCTGGAACAAGGATCTTCTCTCCTTTGCCATTCTCACAGAAAGCCCCCACTTATGTCTGGTTTTGAACTTCTTCTACATCAACCCCATTTTTCTTCATGGGTTCCACGTCTATCTTAAAAACTGCATTTTCCCTCTTTGCTGCAGTGTGGATTTATGTTCAGCTCTCCCTATTCTTAAGAAAGTTAATAGTAGCTGTTGTGTTTTCCCTCCCCAAATATATGGCACCTGCTATTGAGTGAGGAGTCTCTTGGCCCTCTTCCCCATGTGCGAGATCTTGACCACGAGGAACATCCTAGGTAGCGCCTTGGTCCCGCCTAAGGAAAATAATTGATGTGAAAAGCCCATACACCAGAATATATATCTAAACTTTGCTCTTTGATCCACATTCAACTTAAATATTTTTACGAATTCTCGGTGGCCAGGAGGGTCAGGGCCCAATGGCTCACCCTCGGGGGTACAGCTCTCCCAGACTGCCCTGTGGAGCTGATGGCCACGGGCAGTGCGTGCTTGAAACTGGCCGAGAGGAGTAACAGGATCACAGATAGGTGATGGCCTCTCCTCTCTCGCACAGAGCCTTGCCCTCCAGGTGCCAGATGCTCCTCTTCTCAGCCACCTTCGGGGACTCTGTGTGGCAGTTTGCCGAGCGAATAATTCCCGACCCGAATGTCATAAAGTTGCGCAAGGAGGAGCTGACTCTGAACAATATCCGGCAGTATTACGTATTGTGTGAGGACAGGAAAAGCAAGTATCAAGCGCTGTGCAACATCTACGGCGGCATCACCATCGGCCAAGCCATCATCTTCTGCCAGGTAAACTGTGTGCAGTTTCCGCTCCCTCAGGCTAGGCTACCTACAGAGAGAGAGAGGTGGTCCCCTATACTAAAATAGCCAGGGGAAAACATCACAGAAATGTATTTGCATTCTAAAAAATAAAGCTCTCTCACTGATGAGCTTTGTAACCTTGGGTGAGTTAGTTAATTTTTTTTTTAATTTTTGGGGTCTTTTAATAGTTTTAAAGGAAATTAGGTGTCTAACTCATTAAATTGTGAAAAGCAAATTACTCTAGTGCATGTAAAATTTTTAGCAAAGTGCCCGCCACGTCAACAGCTCTGTAAGAAGATCTAGTGTCACCCTAATTGTATTAGCTCCTTCTGTAGTCTTCCACACAGGAAGTAGAAGCCCCATTATCTTCACCTTGGTAGTGAGAAGCCCAACACCCTGATAAGTTAACAGAATGGGTCCTTTAGACGAACCAAAGCCAGGCCATCCTCACTGTCCCAGGAGTCCAGGGGCCCTGCAGAACCAGGTAGAACTGACCCTGTGAGTTTCTTAGACTAGCTGTTTGCAGGAGTAGAAGGCCCCATCTGTCTCCCATGGAGTGGCTGGAGGTTTTGAACTGCTGACTTTGCAGATCACAGCCCAAGACCTAACCACCACACCACCAGGGGCCCTATTTAGAAGCATCGGGGAGGGAAAAGTCCATCGTCCAAGGTTCCTCGAGAACTGAGGGAGTGGTGACGTAAACACTGCCGCCCTGCCACTCTCCCTGCAATCCCACTCTGTAAGCACCGGGCACCTGCAAACCCCACCCATCTGCTTTCTTCACTCATAGGACTGGCTGGGTGGGGGTGTGTTTCTCATAGACTCGCCGAAATGCCAAGTGGCTGACTGTGGAGATGATGCAGGATGGACACCAGGTGTCCTTGCTAAGTGGGGAGCTGACCGTGGACCAGCGTGCATCCATCATCCAGAGATTCCGGGATGGGAAAGAGAAAGTGCTTATAACGACCAATGTTTGTGCTCGCGGTACGTGTGTTTGTATGTGTAAAGTCAGGATTATTAAGGTATGATGTACGGGGGGGCCTTTAAAAATGCATGGGAAAAATATAATGTTTTTCATGAACTTTTGAATGATTTTAAAACATATAAAATCCATTCTTCTTGAGTGTGTAGTGAAATGAGTTTCTTCAATATCTCAGTTAAAATACAGAACATGCCCATCGCCCCCAGTGTTTCCTAGCGCTCCAAGGCAGTCCATTTGGTCCTCCCACCACATGGCAGACTCCGACCGGATGTCTGCCTCAGAGCCATGCATAGTAAATCATGCAGGAGGGAGTCTTTTGCAAGTGACTTGCTCCACGTCATTAGGATCGTTACGTATGTGTTCCTTTTTATTGCTGAGTATTTTGTTCATTTGATGAATATCTGCATCATTTTCAGTTTGGGGCTATTTTCAATAAAACCATAGTAAGCATTTATGTATAGGTTTTCATGTAGAAAGAAATAGGTTTTCCTATCTGTTGGCCAGCCCACACGGTGCAAACCTGCCGCCTGCTCCCCAGGAGACCGATGAGCGCCCATAAAGTGTTACATACAGGCTCAGAAACCATACAGAGCAGTTCCACTCTGTCCCATAGAGTTGCTGTGAGATGGTAAGTGTATGTTACTTTTACCAAAAAAATATGCAAAGCAGTTTTCCCAAACGTTGTTGAATTCCCAGCAACAGGATGAGCGCATTCCAGTTGCTTTGTGTCTTGGTCAGCTATCAGTATTGCCAGTGTTTCTGTCAGGTAAACATTCTAGTGGTAAGTAGTATGTTTTGTTATACATGTAGTATGTTTTGTTGTAGTTATAATGCACATTTCCTTAGTGACTAGTGAAGTCGAACATCTCTGAGGTAATTTTAAAGCTATTGATTTCAGGGGAAAACCCTTGGGGTTTTTTTTAGAGAAATACCTTTGAACTTTTTCTATCCTTTCTGTATCCTTGAGAAACCACCAGGTTGGTAGTGACCCCAGAGTACAGCAAAAAACCTAAACTGCAAACTCACGGCCATCGAGTCGCTGCTGACTCACAGCCACCTATGGAACCGGTAGAACTGCCCCTGTGAGGTTCCAAGACTGGACCTTTTTTTTTGGGGTGGGGGGGATTTTTTAAATTAATTTTTAAATCTTTATTTTTTTTAAAATCATTTTATTGGTGGCTCATACAACTCATCACAATCCATCCATCCATCCATGTGTCAAAGACATTTGTACATTGGTTGCCATCATCATTCTCAAAACATTTTTTTCTACTTGAGCCCTTGGCATCAGCTCCTCAGGAAGTAGTGGCCTGAAGAAGGATGAGATCCCTGACCCTCAAGAGCTTATCACCTAGGCCAGCGGTTCTCAACCTGTGGGTCGCAACTCCTGAGCCACCCTTTCACAGGGGTCGCCTAAGGCCATCGGAAGACACGTATTTCCGTTGGTCTTAGGAACCCAGACACCCCTCCTCTACTTGTCTCCAGGTGGGTCCACCCACATGCAGATACACCCACATATGTGTACCCGGCGTGAAGAGTGTTACCCATGCTACACCATGCTTCAAGACAGAATTTCATTTACTTGTAATTAGAAATAAATATTTCACAATATATATAACTACATAATGTTTTGTGATGAATCACTATGCTTTAATTATGTTCAATTTGTAACAATGAAAATACATCCTGCATATCAGATATTCACATTCCAATTCATAACAATAGTAGCAAAATGCCAGTTATGAAGTAGCAACGAAAATAATTTTACGGTTGGGGGGGTCAGCACAACATGAGGAACTGTATTAAAGGATCGTGGCATGAGGAAGGTTGAGAACCACCAACCTAGACTCTTGTTGACTCTCTAACACTGTCCAGTAGAAGTTTCCTACAATGATGGAAGCATTCTATTCTACCCTGGTCAGTTGGTGATCATTAGCCAATTGTGACCGTATAGCATTTGACATGTAACAAATATAAATGAGGTATTATTACATTTTTACTTTTGGTCGTAATTTAAACAGCACCATGGGTCATGACCCAGCCAACTTGTTAATGTGGGACATGGAAAGCACTAGGGATCACGGAAGTTCTCCTAGGCAACCTCAGACTTGAAAGGTTTTGAATGAAGAATAGCGATTCAGATGGATGAGAATTTACAGTATGTTTGGAAAATAGCAAGACCTTATGGTTGGAGTGTTTCACTTAAAGGTTACAGGGCCACACTTCTAGGTGGCTACAAGTCCCACAAACTTTGAGGAATTAGGTTCTCAAGCCAGGTGCTCTGGACGTTGCTGTGGTGACTCCTAGGAAGACTAGGTGAGTGGGCAAAGCGATCGAGAGGGAGCCAGTCTGGCCATTGTTTTAACAGTTAAGGCTTCACCAGAACAATGGCTGTGGAATAAATGAAACTGGGATTCTCTGATGGATAAGGAGACAGAACATTAAATGTGCATGCTATGTGCTCCCTACAGCAGGATAAGAAAGGAGGGGTGGCTTTGTGGGCTTAGCGAGAGTTCCTTCCCTACAACTACCCCCCCCCCCACCACATACATACTTTCTGCATATTCAAATGCCTCTATTATTAGCCTCTACCCACACTCTTACACATATCATAGACATACTGCGCAAGCAAACTGCTTGACCGAGGTGCCTGTTTCAATTATTCAGAGCCCGGTTCGAGTTATCTATTATCTCTGTTTTTCAAAAGAAAGAATTCCTTCAGTACGTGTGGCACTTTGAATAATTAAGAAATATTTCCAAGAACTTACAGTGTTTTTCCTCTTCTAGGGATTGATGTGAAGCAGGTCACAATTGTTGTGAACTTTGACCTTCCTATAAACCAAGCAGAGCAGCCAGACTATGAGACCTACCTCCACCGCATAGGGCGGACTGGACGCTTTGGGAAAAAAGGGCTTGCCTTTAATATGATTGAAGTGGATAAGTTACCTCTATTGATGAAAATCCAGGATCACTTCAGTAAGTAGCACAGCTTACACAGCATAAACTGGGGGTCTGCCCAGGCTGTGCCAGGTGGTGATGGTGATGTTTGTGCATCATGCAGCCTGTGGTTCTGGGAAGCCCGCGCAGGCGGCATCTCACTCACAGGACTGTATTCCTCATGTGAGGCATTTGATGGAACAATTCTTACACGATGTTAAAGAAACAGTTTTAAATCAAGTGGAATGACTCTGAGCTCAGGCTTACATAGTCATCTCATTCTGTGACCCAGCCTGGTGATGCACTGAGCTAACTCTGCATTGAGCTGCTAACCACAAAGTCAGCAGTTCAAACCCACCAACTGCTCCATGGGAGACAGATGAGACTGTCCGCTCCCATAAAGATTTTTAAATCTCAGAGCCCCAAAGGGGTTTATACATAGGGTCACTATGAGTCATAATCGGCTTCCTATCAGGTTTTAATAGTAATATTTTTTAGTAACAGTAGCCGAATCACTTTTTTTAATCCCCCCTTATGGGATGGAAAGGACATGGGCTTTTGGGTCAGGCCTGGGTTTTCAGGCCTAGGTCTTCTACCATTTGGAGTGATCTTTATATACCTTTTATTGCCAACAAGCCTTACCTACTCGTCCTCCGGCCCAGAGTAGCCTCCCCTGGAAGCATGTTGACCTTGCTAGAGGCAAAGAACAAGCTTAGAACCCCGATGAGAATAGCTGGTGCTATTGTGTTTCTCCAAATTCCTTGGGAATAAAGTTCCCTTAGATGGGTCTGTTCATTCATGTAGCATTTTTTTAAACATTTTATTAGGGGCTTATACAACTGTCATCCCAATCCATACACACATCAATTGTGTAAAGCGCATTTGTACATCGTTTCTCAAAACATTTTCTCTCCACTCAAACCCCCGACATTAGGTCCTCATTTTTCCCCTCCTTCCTCGCTCCCTCCTCCCGCATGAGCCCTTGATAGTTTATAAATGGGTATTTTGTCATATCTTGCCCTGTCCGACGTCTCCCTTCACCCACTTTTCGGTTGTCTGTCCCCCAGGGAGGAGGTCACACACAGTTCCATGTAATCGGTTCCCTCTTTCCTACCCACTCTCCCTCTACCCTCCCTGTTTCACCACTCACACCACTGGTCCTATAGGGCTCATCCGCCCTGGATTCCCTGTATTTTCAGTTCCTATCTGTACCAGTGTACCTCCTCTGGTCTAGCCAGACTTGCAAGATCGAATTCGAGTCATGGTAGTGGGAGCGGGGAGGAAACATTTAGGAACTAGAGGAAAGTTGTACTTCTCATCATTGCTCATGTCGCATTTATTTGCCTTCATAATTTGATGTGTTTACAATGAAGACTATGATATCATGCCTGCTTTTAAGGCACACAGTCTAACTAGGGAGAAGACACTCTAACACATAATGGTATTTCCAAAACTAGAGGTATATCCAGAGTACTAAGGAAACAGAGCAGTTTCTCCAGACCGATATTGGAGAGGCTTCACAGTGGGTGGGGTGGGGGGTGGTAGAGGTGATGTTCACTTTACACCTGTGGTGATTAGCAGGATTAGGTCATTTCAGGCAGAAAGAGGAAGAGCCCAGAAGACACAGAGGTGAGACAGCATTTAATTGCCTGTGTGCAGGTAAAGAGAGGAAGACCTGCCTCCTTACCTCATATAAAGTAGACTTCTAGGTGGTCGCCTTCTCCTGGGCCTGTCCTTACAGGGGGTAGGATCACCCTGAACAGAACAATAAAATCATTTGAGACTGTGTTCTGAGCCCAACGTCCATCCCCTCCTTCTTGCCCCAAGGTCAACAGCACGATCTTGAATTCTCAAGTTGTCTGCTATCAGTATTCCCGCAGCTTGGTTGAACAGTGCATGCCTTTGGACAGACAGACTGTATTCTGATAGAAGTGTGAACTGTAAAAGGTCCCCCATGCTGAGATGTGCTCCTTTCAAAGTGAACCAAAGGCCCCACAGGCCCCAGCTATGACCAGGGAGCAGGGGAAGACAAACACATGAATCCCTTCAAATGTATCCCTGATTTTACTCTCCAGGACACTGGCACTTAACCGTTTGGAAAGCATGGTCACTCTTCCCAGGAAAGTGCACACAGTCATGTACAAGGGGGCTTCAAAAAGTTCGTGGGAAAGTGGAATGAAAAGAGCATGGGATTTTCCCCCGGAACTTTTGGAAGACCCCTCATCTAGGCACATTTGGAAGCTAATTGTAGAAGGTTTGCAGCCGTGATTACATGGACGCTTCAGGGAGTAGAGGTTATGTATGCCAGGAGAACTGGGGAGGTTCTGGGGGCAAGGAAAAGGAACAAATGAGGTCTGCTGCTATAACTACCGGAGGGATGGGAGGCACCCAGGTGGCAATGGGGTAAATATTGGGCAATTGGAAGCCATCAGCCACTCTGTGAGCCCTGGTGGTATCGTGAATATGCATTGGGCCGCTAACTTCAAGATCAGCGCTTTAAAACCAGCTCCGTATAAGAAAGTTGAGTGTTTCTTACTCCCGTAAAGATTTACAGTTTTGGAAACCCACGAGGGCAGTTTTATTTTGCCCCACAGGGTTGCTATGTGTTGGAACCAACTTGATGGCTGTGAGTTTGGGTTGAATTTGGGGCCACGCTGCAGGAGAAAGACGAAGCTGTGTGTTCTCATAATGACTGTCAGCCTCAGAAACTTATGGGGCAGTCATACTGTCAGACTTGCTTCATGGCAGGGGGGTTTTGTGGGCGGCTATGGGAACCACCTCCTGATTTAGTCTTGGCGAGGGACCCAAGTGGAGGGAGCTTCAGTCCCCCCCATCCTCCACCCCGTCAGCTCTGCCCCTTCCCATGCTCCTCCCTTTAGCCCAGCCCTTCTCCGCCACAAGGCGTCTGTCTTACTGTCTGCCACGTTCCATGCCATTTCAGTTAGTGGGGGTCAGTTATTGCAGCGCCACACCTGCCTCACCTGTTCAAGGGGGCTTTCCATCTCATGCTTTCTCAAGGCGCCATAGGGGTCGCTTTCGTCATAAATTCAGAATTCCGTGGCATGAGCTTCCATTAAGGTGGAGCCCAGAGCAGCCCATTCTGTTTTCTTCTTTCAGACAGCAGTATTAAGCAACTTGACCCCGAAGACATGGATGAAATTGAAAAGATTGAATATTAAAGGAAGAACTTGATCATTCAGGAGTCATGCTCGCTTGGGTGAAAAACAGCCCCGTGGTTTGGGGAGGCGAACTTTCCTGGTGAACCCTTTTCAGCTTGGAACTGTCACCTCTGACAAAATAAACATCACCATTGTCTTGCTTTAGGACGCAAGGTCTTTTTGAAGTAGGACTCATGCGTCTTTGGAATAAAAAGGAAATCAACATGGCTTCTTATTTCTAATCTCCTTGCGGGTAAGTATCTTTGCTGGGCCATGGAGGTGTGCTGTTATCTTGGTTGTATAACATGACTAGATCATACCTCTTGTGAGCATTGGACAGAGCCACAAGATGGCGATAGCACTTTACTGATTATTGTTTTGTTTGGGGGACTAGAAACGTGTGTAACAAAACCCTCAAACCCATTGCTGCTTCGTAGATTCCATCTGACTTATGGCGACTCTATAGGACAGAGTAAATGGCCCCCATAGAGTTCCGATGGCCACAGCTTTCTCCCATGGAATGAGAGGCTGGTGGGTTTGAACCAGGGACTTTTAGGTTAGTATCCCAACACTTGGAAATGGAAGTCACATGTCTTCACACAGATCACTTGTACAACTATAATGGCTTTCCTTTCTGCACCTCTCGCCATCCTTGCATGTGCATGTATGAATTATACACACACACACACACACACACACACACAATCTTAGGCGAACGTGCAAGGCAAAATCTTTAAAAAATGAAACAATTTGAAAGATGGAAAATTTTTATTTTCTTTATGTTTCCAGTGATATACATACTTTTAAAACATGTCTCCATTTTGTTTCTTCAAACTCAGAAATTCAAACTTGCTGAAATCTGGTCAATTCCAGTTCATAGCAACCCCACAGGATAGATTAGAATGCCTCAGGTGGGTTTCTGAGCCTGTAACTCTTTCCTGAAACAATAAGTCTCCTCTCACAGAACATCTGGTGGGTTTGAACTGCTGACCTTGTGGTAGTAGCCCAACACATAACCCACTATGCCACCAGAAGGTGTAGTCCGCCAATTATTTAGTAGTTTCTGAATATGTGGCTTTACTACAGGTGCTGTTTTTAAAGCAAGTAAGGGATGGAGTGGTGTCAAGAGCCCACGTGTCCTATTAAAGTACATTCCAAGGAATCAAAGGGTTTTGTTTTTAGGAGCGTAAAGGTAGATCTGAGAATCTTGGACACTTTTCTTGCCAATCCTTTTGAGATGCTTTTTCATTTCTCACATTTTCTACTCAACAGTGAACTAGTGTGCTTGTAAAAGCAGGGGTTCAGTTGATACTCTCCCCGAAAGCTGTGCAGGTGTTTCAGCCCACACCAGACCCCCAAGCTCCAGGTCTGTCACAGGAAGTCGCTACTGGCAGCCGCTGCAGGGCACAGAGAGTTTGTCCTGAATAGCTGTTGTCACATTCCACTGCATGTTGCCCCCTAGGGTTTTTATCCCTGTATCCCTGTGCGCCAGATTCAGAAATACATGCAGATCATCCACATTCCACATTCTACAGAGGAGATTTATCATCTGCCTCTGGAAGAAACACTGCTATGGAAATGGAAGTAAGAAATTGCAGTCTCATCAGTCTGACCGGAATGCACTTCAGTGACAGAGTTGCATAATTAAAGTAGTATCATAATATAGAATATACGAAGAGCGTCCAAAAGGTCATAGAAAAATGGAGCTTAAAGATAGTGCAATTTTTCCAAGAACTTTTTGAATCCCCTTATGGGAAGGCATACAAGTTGCTAATGTAACACAGAGGAGGAGATTTACATCTCCTTTTTTATGTGATTTCTTTTTGTGGGTGTTGATATGCACAGCGGAACATGTGGTAACTGAACAGACTCTACATGTCCAGTTCAGTGAGCTGACTACCTTCTTCGAGGTGGACAGTCATTCCCACCCTCCTTTTCTGACTCCCATCACTATGTCCCCCTTCCCCCCCGCCCCGGGTTCCTATCTCATCTTTGAAGAAACTGCTGTTAGTTTGATTCCATCTAGGTAGATCTTAAAAAAAGCACAATATGCAAGTCAAACATTTTTCACCAGTCACATCTCCTCGTATAAGGGAGAAATACATATTATCACAGAGGGAGTTGCTGGGCCGTGAAACCAACCACCGTCCTCAGCTGTGAATGGAGACGTGGCACCACCAAGAGACCCCCGAGAGGCACCTTGGGAAGAAAGCCCTGGGGGCCTACTCCCAAAAGCCCGTTGTTGGAAGCCTGACGAAGCACAGTTCTACTCTAACATACAGGCTGTCATGAAAGAAAGGCAGTACAGGAGCAGTTGATTTGCTTTGGTTTAATTTCTCATTATGTCCCGGTACCACCTTGTATTTTACCTAACCTGGGCCTCCCGGTGCAGTGCTTCAAACCCAGCTCAGCACGGAATGACCTGAGGAACTTGGAAACGAAATGTGCATTCTCCTGTACAAACAGACCCGACTCCGAGCGTAGAGCCCAAGAAGACACGTTTAGATGGGGGAGCTGCGAGCATCAGGCAAAGCAGTAGGTAATACTGGCCACCGTCTCGAGAAGACCATACACAGAGCATGTGAAATGGGGCTCCCCCTGCTGAATTGTCGTCTGGTTTGGTGTACGGAATCTATTTTTGCAGCCCCAAATTCTCCTTATAGAGCTGCTTTCCATGATGGACTGTAAGCTTGTGAGCAGTCTTGTTTTCCACTTACAAATTAACGCCTAATACAGTGTCCACTAGCACATCATAGGTGATCAATACATGTTTGTTCTAATTGAGGCATTATTTATTTTGTCATTTCCTCATCCACACATTTTTCTTGATGTTTTCCACCTTAAAATGGAACCCCGATTTTACGAAACAGACTAAATGTGTGCAGACTAGATAAAGTGAATGTATCAAGATATACTTCCCACTGCTAAATAAAACGTTACCACCTTTCTTTCCAGTTCAGATCTTTGATAAAATCTGTATTTGTGTCTCTGCTAAATTCCATTTGGCAACTATTCCCTTAATGTTCCCTTAACTATTCCCTTCATAGATTGAGTTTGGGAGTGTGCTGCAACTTTTTGTTAAAATTCATAAATCATTTTATTGGGGGCTCTTAGAGCTCTTATAACAATCCATACATCAATTGTATGTCTGCTGTCACTATAGTCTGGAATAATCTGTGTAGAATTGATGACAACTCTTCTTCAAATATTCAGTAGAATTCCCCTATGAAGTCATCTGGTTATGGGTTAATCTTGGACATTTCTTGATGACTATTCTCTGTTTCTTCTTTTGTTATGGGTCTGTTCAAGTTTTCTACATCCACTTGCATTAATTTGGGCAGATGGTGTATTTCCTGGTATTTGTTAATTTCTCCTAGATTGTGAAACTTACTGGAGTATGGTGTTTTGTACAATTTTTTAAAAAATTGCATTTGGATCTATAAGATGCCACTTTTCAACTTGAATTTTAAATATTTGCATCTTTTCTTCTTTTTCTTTGTTATGTTTACCAGTAGTGTGCCACTTTTGTTAATCCTTTAAAAAAACCAACTTCTTTTATCGTTGATTTTCCCTATTATTTTGCGGAGTTCCAGTTCATTTATTTCTCCTATAAATTTTCTGTTGTTGGAGGGGTCATGTAGTTGCCCTTGTTCTAGTTATTGAAAGTGATGTGTTAACGTTGTTAATTTGGGATTTTTACCCTTTTACCATGTGTGTATTGATTGCTATAAATTACCTCTGAAAACTGCTTTTGCTGTGTCCCAAAGATTCTGGTAGGATGGCTTATTCTCATTTGTTTCAAGGAATGTCTTAATTTCTTCCCTTATTAGATATATTACCAGGTAATTTGTAAGTAGTATGTTATTCAGTCTCCTGTTGTTTCTATTGTTGATTTCCAGTTTTATAGCATTGTGTTCTGAGAACATGATTTGTTGGATCGCCATGGTTTTTAATTTGTTGAAGCTTTCTTTGTGGCCTAATGTGATCTGTTCTAGAGTATGTACTTCACGCACTAGAGAAGAATTCATACTGTACTGTTGTTGGGTGGAGTGCTCTGTGTATGTCTGGGAATTCAAGCCGGTTGATTGTGTTTAGCTCTTCTGTTTCTTCATTGGGTTTCTTTCCTGATGAGCTATCTTTCCTTGAGAGTGGTGCTTTGAGGTCTCCTACTATTAATGTCTAGCTATTTATTTCTCTTTTCAACTTGGGGCATTTGATTGCAGCATTTCCAGAGCCTTTCATTAGGTGAGTTTGTTTATTAAGATTATATGTTACTGGTATTATTATGTAATGTCCATTCTTGTCTCTTCCTTATGTTATTCGCCCTGAGGTCTATTTTATCCGAGATTAATATTGCCACTCCTGTCTTTCTAGGGTTGCCATTGGCTTGGTAAAATTCTCACCATCCTTTGATTTGTAATCTATTTTCATGTTTGAGTTTGAAGTGTATCTTGTAGGGAGCATATTGATGGGTCTTGTTTTTAAATCCATTCCGCTACTCTCTGTCTTTTGATTGGTGCTTTTAGTCCATTGACATTCAGTGTCATGTTGACATATACAGATTTCTTTTTTGGTCATTTTGCCTTTTTGTATGATTTTATTGATATCTGTGTCCCCTATTTATTGGTCCTCTATTTCTGTGTTGTTTTGAGTGCTGCTTTCATTGTGTTGGTTTCTGGGTGGTGCTGTCCTGTTTGACACTCTCAGGTTTATCTGCTCTTGTTGATTCTCTGCCCACAGGAATCCAGTTAATACTTTTTCTAATACTGGTCATTTTAAAAATACATTCTGGAGACTCCTCTTGCCCTGTTTGCCCAGACTGTGCGCGGACATGGCTGGTAAGGTCAGGGCCATCCAGGAGCGTGTGAAGCAAAGAACCGAGGTATATCCCACTCCAGAAACCTAACATTTGGTGCCATGATTTGGATAAAGACCTTTGGACTCCACCTTTAAGACTGATCTGTGGATTTTCCAGGATTCAATCTTGCCTTTTGAAGCTGATGCCAGTTGAGAGCTGACTC